TTCAAAGAGTTACCTAACTGTGCTTCGTGCCTGGCAAATAATTTTGGAACTGTTTAATGAAAGACAGCTATTTCTGAGGAACTTAAAGGTTCTCCGAGAATATTATTTATACATTTTTGAGGTTATGAATGTCTTTGGGTGTTTATAAATGGATTCTATAAGTTATTACGTTGCTAATAGCCTGGTTGTTGATCTTGCTTTGGTTGGCTGTTTTCCCCAAATGAGGAACCTCTTAGCAACAGCAGCAGCGTGCTGTATCTCCATGTCTTCCAGAGAGGCTGCCACAAACGATAGGCAGTTAGAAACAGGCAAGCAGGCCCTTGCTCCTGGTCTAAAGGCACCAGTTCAGTGGAGAAGCTGTTGATCTCTTGTGTTAAGCTTCAGCCATTGTTCACAGTCTGGCATGGAATTAATCCCTTAAGAAAGGGCTAAAAAAAAATGCCATTCAGCACAACGTAGTTTGTCATCGCATGCATAATGCAGGCTTTCCAATTAGAATGCTACAATTTGGAAACTTTCTTCACAGGCTGATGAGAGAGCAGTTATTTTAAGAAGAGAAAACTGAGTCCACTGGGTTTGCCTCCAGTCACTTCTGACTCAGACCACAAAGACAAGAGTTTTGAAATCATATTCACTATCGAATTTTGTATCAAAACAGCAGCAAGGAGAGCAATTAGTTGCTGTAAACTGAGCCCCGGGTAATCAATGGTATGCACCCAGCCAGAGCATTTATGGAGGATGTAAGCAGAATCACATCTGTTAATCAATTTTATAAAAAGCCAGCGCCTCGCTGCTTTTAGGGAGACTCCACTGTAAGAAAAGGGGAGATGGAGCAGCCAGCCGTAATGTCACCAGGCGTTTGCGCGGTGCTCATTAGGTGATGAGGTCTGATCTGCATCGGTGAATCTCTGTGGTGGATAAAGTCAGCCTCTTTGAAAATGGCTTCCGATCATGGAGTGGAGGAGAGAGGGGCATGTTTAAGGAGCTCATCTTCTTTAAGGTCATGAGGAGTGTCTGTGCTGGGCGATCACACTCTGCAAACATTCCCAGCCAGATTACAAGCCAGAAATGTCTCTATGCTGTCAGTGCAAATACCTAAGAGCAGACTTTGCAGGCAGACAAAGAAGCACGGGCGGCATGGGACGTTACACTCTGCCTAACGAGAGCCCAGTTCTAACCTGTAGAAAGAAAGGAGCCTGGGTCAGATTTGCTTGTAGGGTTTAAACTGAACCTGCTTTTTCAGTAGAGTCAACAAAAGGACTGATTCCTGATGAAGCCTAAATTCTAAGCAAATATGCATCCTGGTACATGAATTTGGATCCCTATAAACTCCACGGGGAGAAGACAGAGCCCTACACTGGATAACCTGCCATCCATCAGTGTCCCTTCCACTCAAGAGTCGCCGTGACCCTGCATTCCCCAGGGACTCTTAATAGAAGAATTGAAAGGAGATGTCTCACCCAGTGTGTGCTCTTGGCTGCAATTCAGGACAGAAAAAATTTAGGCTAGGAAAAATTACTAAGGTAAAGATCGATGGACTAGGCTAATAAAAATTAATATCTTTCGCATGCCAACTGTGATGGGCAGTGAATTAATACCTTCAGATGTAGAGGACGTTTTGTAAGTCATTAGCAATAGGATAAGTATAGAAAATACACAAAATGTTCCAAGTTCGATGATGAGTTAAAAAAAAAAAACCTTGCAAATTAATGAACTGTGTTTTGTCCCTAACATGGGTATTGTTTCTAAGTGCGGGTATCAGTACGATGGCACAGAAAACGGCCCTGGCTAGACGCCACTGGCAGTTTAACCTACTACAGATTTTTGGTTGAAGGTGAGAGGAGAGGTCTACAGCTACTCTATAATACACAGCACAACCTCCAAAGGAAAACTTTTTTTCATACAAACTTTCAAGGGAAGTAGTGAATTTCAAAGGAAGAAGTAGATCCCAGAGATTTTCATGTACAAATGTTTAAGAAAAGTATTGGGTTTAGCTAAGAATATTTATTGAAGAATTTTTCCTGAGTGAAATATCACTAAGTACCTAAATGTTGAACACTAAGAGACTGTTTAAATTGTGCGGCATTGGTAGAATGAAATACAATGAGTCAGTATCTATGATATAGATGATTCAAGGCATGGAACTCGTTTTGTAGCCCTGGCTGGCCTCAAACTCAGATCCTCCTGCCTCTGCTTCCCAAGTGCTGAGAATAAAGGTGTATGCCACCACTAATTAGTTTCTGATCCTTCAGTCACTCCAAGAATCTCTGGGGACATTCACAGTACTTGTACTCGACATTCTGTATCTTCTCCTTATCTTGTATCCTCAAGGCAGTCTCTTATGAAACATCTGGTTAGACTCTGTCCCACAGGGACCCAGTGCTTCCATTTGGGTTTTCTGTAAGACATGTACTCACGTTTATCTGGAGTGATGGGGGTTGTAGCACTCTGGGTCTCCATTAATAATGCAGAATCCCAATGAGAGTGGGGTATGCGGGGTATGATGGAGCACGCCTTTAGTCCCCGAACTCGGGAGGCAGAGGCAGGCGGATCTCTAAGTTCAAGGCCAGCCTGGCCTACAGATTGAGTACCAGGACAGCCAGGGCTATACAGAGAAACCCTGTCTCAAAAAAAAAAATAAAACAAAATAAAACAAAGCAAAACAGACAGAAGAACAGACTTCTACTCAGAATTGTCTTTAGAGAATCCTGTTACTAGAGCTATGAAATGAAGAATTAATTTGCTTGAGATTTCTGGTGTCTGTATTAGCAAGTGACTATTACTTGATAGCAAGTAGAATTCAAGGTCTACCTCGGCTATGGAGTGGAAGCTCAAAGCCAGCTTTGGCAACTTAGACTCTACCTCAAAAGGAGAAATATGAGGGCTTAGTGGTGGAACCTTGCCTACCCCCAGTGAAAGACTGAAAAACAACCACAGCAGCATTAATTCTCCATAGTTGCCTTACACAAATACAAGTTGTGCTAGGGATTTCATTGACTGTAATAGCAAGATTAAAGAAGACATAGGATTGGCTGTTACAGAGTGATGGGTTACTGTACAAATATAGTTCAGATGCATAAACTAGGAACACGAGGCAGGAGGATTACAGACCTGGGTTTAGATTGGCATACCAGCTGCCATCCTGCATCACTCATACACTGATAGTGTATGAGTATAACTACCATGGATATAACGTGAGGAGAGCAGTTGTGCTTGCTGAGAGGGTACTCAGGTGTATAACAGAGCAGGCTGTGCAGAGCACTTGACTGTGGGCCTGAACCACATAAGCATTAAAGCAGTGCTGGCTGTCACCATCATCATTGCTGCTGCTGGCTTTGCCCAGCTGACATCTACCAAGTGCTGGCCTAGCTCTAGGTAGAGAGAAGCCGTTTAGGCCACGTGGGGGTGGTTCACACCTTAGTCCCATACTCAGGAGGCAGAGGCAGGCAGCCTGGTCTACATAGAGAATTCCTGGACAGCCAGAGCTACACAAAGAAACCCTATTTTGGGGGGGGGGGGGGAAGAAAGGAAGAAAATCCACTTATACGTGGACACTGCCTGCTGTGTGCTCACTGTTGCGGCTGACGGGAAGCACATGCATGTGACTTCCTGTTACACCGTGTGTAACAGGCAAAGATGGCTGAAATAGTGGAAATCAGTGATCTGTTTCCTCTGAAGCATGGTCAGTTGTCGAGCACAGAGCCCATATTATATGCCCAGATTCCGTTTTAACTTGGAGAGCCACACATGGAGCGTACACACATCTACTGTACGTAGCTTGATGAATATGTACAGGCTCCTGCAGCCACATAATCACCACGAGATAAACTAGCACGTCTCTGCCCTTCTAGAGGCTGCCCTCATCCTGTTTCCCGTCAATACTTTCTTTAGAAGGACCTGCTGTTCTGAAACTGGTAGGTGGGTGTATTCTGCTTTGAACGTCACGCAAATGGACTCACCTAGTCCATTAAGGTTCTCACCCGAGCAGAAAAGGGCTCAGAGCAGGACCAAGATAGTAAGTCCCCGACGATGAGCACGTTTTCCTCATACGTGCAGCTGCCCTCATACACTTGGGGGTCACGTACTGGGACATTTGCATAAAAGGGCACAGAATATTTTTGGTCAACTCCTTTAAAAATACAGAACAAAACTATTCGCATAGTATTTACTTTCATTGGGTATTGTAAGGCACGTAAGGACAATTGGGATTTTGTGGGAGGCCAGCCGGGACATTTAACAACCCTGCAGTCACTGCTCGCAAGAGGCTCACTCACCTAGCCTGCACCACAAGACCTTGTCTGTGGAGAGTGTGCATGCACACACATGCACAATTCTCTATATGTGTGTATTTGTTTACACTTACGAGTGTATTCACAAGTCAGATATATATATGTGTGTGTGTGTGAGTATATATGTATATGTGTGTATGTATATATATATACATATATACACACACATACATGACTGTGCACAGATTTTGTAATATGTAAAGTACGTATGGTGTCATGTAATTGAGGACTTGAGTAGCCACAGACTAGCCTCTTACAGATGCTAAGGGATAGCTATATCTCCACAGCAGGTAATCTTACCAGAGTTATGTGGAACCCTGGTAAGAATGAGAGGAAGCATAAAACACGGTAAGCTCATGTTAGCATCCGTTGGTAGCACTGGTCCCCTGAGCAGGTGTTTCTCAGATCTTATCCTCAGCTAGCTCCGATGCTACAGTGAAGCTGAAGAACCTGAAAAGATGACACAGGACAGACATGCTCCCTCCTAAGGCAGTCTGAACAGAGGCTCCCTGGGATTGGGTGGTTAGTGAGACAGACTGTCAAAGAGGTGACTCACAGCCTGACCCAGCCCTTCCTTCTCTTCATGATTTTATTGCGATTTTCTCTCCTTCTGCAGTCCTGGATGCAAGGCAGGGCACAGGGGGTAGGGAGGGATGACACACAGCCTCATGACAAGATGTGAAAACCACGTCGTGTCCTCTCTCTCCTCAGGTTATTACTCTGGGACTGTGATGATCGAAGCTACAGCTACTATGTTGAGGTTTCCACCAATCAGCAGCAGTGGACCATGGTGGCTGACAGAACGAAAGTGTCCTGCAAGTAAGTAACACGTTCACAGCCTACCATGAGCTCAGAGGCCCTGGAGAAGATTCCTGCAGGGAGGTGAAGTGCTTTCCCAAGAAGGAGCCTTTGTTTCAGTTTTGACTACTAAGCATTTAAATGAGCATTTACTTGATATGCACAAATAGGTTTTACCTGTGAGCTGAACTTGAAACTGACTGACATACTCACACTACTCACATGGAAGTAAGAGACTCCTTATGTGGTCCTCCCTCTGAGCTCCTAGCTCCTCACTAGCTTCTTAGGAACTTGAACTTCCTCAGAGAGTTCCACATGAGTGGTACCGTGGGGCTCTGTTTTCTCATCTCTTGCCCACCCTAATAGCAACCCTTACCTCACCGAGTACCCAAACCAAGGAAAGCTGTGGTGTGCCTTAGGCTCTGCTGCCTTTGCTCGGCACTGGTTCTCTGTGAGCTCCCCTGGCTCTGGGAACACCCAGGAAGAAGGATCCTGTGGGTTCTGACCAATCTGGAACCATGATGCCTGGAAAGAGCTTGGTGCCTGTGGGGAAAGTTTCCTCTGGGAGACAAAGCAAAGCAAAGCTGAGACTTCGTCTTTAAAAATCAGATTGAGATTCTGTTAGTTAGATTTCCATTCCTGTGACACAAAACTGAGAAACAGCTTACCCAGAAGAAGGCTTTGGGGTTCATGTTCCAGAGGTTGCTGCCCTGGATCATGACCTCTCCATGACCTCTGGGGAAGCTAGAGGAAAGGACTGCCGGAGCCCCAGTATCTGCTTCCAGCTCGTGCCTCTGATTCATGACTTCACTGGGTCTGTCTCCACCTCCATCACCAGCACAGGCTGGTGACCAGCCTTCACACAGGCCTCGGAGGGCAGTTACACCCAAGTTGTAATATCTTCCTGACTCTAAATTCACCCTTAGGAAGTGTGAAACTGTGCTTTTAGTACACTCACAGAACTGTGCAACCATCATCTCTGATGTTCCACAGCATTTGTGTCAGCCCCTCCTGAAAACAAACCCATTTCCCTTCATCTGGTCCAGCATCTAGTCATTTCTTTGTCCCTGCCTCTGCCAATGACGGGAAGCCTGTGTGAACGGAATCGTACAGTGTATGACCTTCCATCCTCAGTGTCTGCTCTGTAGCATGTGCTCCAACTCATCCTGGCTGTATCTGTCATACACGAGGATTTTCTTTTTGTCTGGTGAATGATATTCCTGTGCGGCCTCATTGTCTTCCATTGTTCATCCTGACAGGTATTTGAGTTGCTTCTCCTCTTTAGCTCTAATGAACAAGGCTGCTTTGCACGTTTCAGTGCAGGAGAGTGTGGGGAGCACACCGTTCAAGTGTTCTTGGATGGATCCCTGGGGTAAAATTGCCACATTGTATTTTTTATTAAGATTTATTCATTTTTATTTATATGAGTACACTGTAGTTATCTTCAGACACACCAGAAGATGACATTGGCTCCCATTACAGATGGTCCTGAGCCACCATGTGGTTGCTGGGAATTGAACTCAGGTCCTCTGGATGAGCAGTCAGTGCTCTGAACCGCTGAGCCATCCCTCCAGCTCCATGCATCCCATTTCTTAATGGCATTGATGACAGTGTGCTTGACCCTGTTCAGTACCTTCAGCTACTGTTAGAGCAATGTGTTGAACTTTTTGAAGGACGGCTGAGCCGCTCTATATGGCCTTGGGCAGCGTGTGAGAGACCAGTTTCCTATCCTTGCTGGCCTTGTTGTCATTATCCCTGGGCCACAGTCATCGAAGTGGGTACCACTGAGCCTTTGATTGGCATTGGCCTGTGGCTCGTGCACTAAGCATCTTTTCAAGTGCTTGTTTGGCTGTAATTTCTTTTCTAATGTCTGTTCTTTGGTTGGTTGGTTGGTTGGTTGGTTGGTTGGTTGGTCGGTCGGTCGGTCGGTCGGTCGGTTGGCTGGCTGGCAGGAGGCAGTTGCTCTCACTGAGCTATGCTCCCAGTCCATGATTTCTTAATGGCACTGACAATGTGTTTGACTCGGTGTTCAGTGCCATCAGCTCTGGAGTGGCCGTCACACAGCATGTCTTGTGACGATGTTCACACTCGGCTGTAGCATGTAAGCTCCAGTGTTAACTGGCTTCATGTAAAATGTAACAGTCCACATGGGAGCTCCTGCTAGTCAAGTGGTCCCTTCTTGTGGGTTCATGATGGTTTGGGGGTTCGTCAGCTTCTACGTCTAACAAATACAGGTCATGGAGGCAGAATGAGAAGTTATAATGAGAAGTGGTTCTAAGAAACCCTGGCTTGTATCGTGTGCCTTCCTTCCACTAACATGCCACTGGGGACAAAGCAGCCTGTCCACACAGAGTAATGGCCCCCACTTGTCAGATACAAAATGCTTTGTGGGATATTGCCCTGGTTTTATCAAAGAGAAAATGGAATTTGGAGAGAAGAGCCATCTTTCCCAAGGAGCAGGGGCCAAGTTTTAATTCAGACTCTGTGACATAGCACACGCTTTACAGATCCTGGTATTACTGAAGATCACCAAGCCACCTGTGTGGAGAACTGGGGAACAGAGTGGTTCCTTTGTTCCTAAGCTGCTGGAACCCTTTACAGACAATGGCGCGCCTCTAGGCCCTGTGAGCCACCTGCCCCAGTCCTCTCTCTAGAGCTATACTTGTTTGCCACAGCTCACCATCTTTGGCATCCTTTTTTTTTTTAAAGATTTATTTTTATTTCATCTATATGAGTGTTCTATTTGCATGTATATTTGCATGCCAGAAGTCATCAGACCCCATTACAGATGGTTGTAAGCCACCATGTGGGTGCTGGGAATTGAACTCAGGTCCTCTGAAAGAGTAGCCAGTACTCTTAACTGCTGAGCCATCTCTCCAGCCCCATCCTTGGCATTCTTGACAATCTTTTCTGTCATTTGTATGTTTCTTTACAAGGCTCCATCCAGGGAGCACTTCAAGCCTTCAACAAGAGCACACTTGATGTACACAGAAGCCTGACTAATGGTTTGTACTGAGCTCACTAGCATTCTGTGAGGAGAAACTCCTCTGTGCAGATCCTCTTAGTGCCTTTGCTTAGCTACCAACATCTTATTAGTTTCCATTCATTGATGGACTTAAATGATTGAGAAGCTCTCAACTTCGATTGTAACACACAGGTTCTCCAGAAGTGGTTTACATATTAATAAGCTGTGAACTTTGGTGTATCAGAACAAACAAGAAGGCAAGATTCTATCACTCCATTAGAATCAGTGGGAACCAACAGTTAGGATTTTACATTTATGGATGTAATCTGTGCACTGTACCTCCGCCATTTATGAAGTCACTTCAGTTCTTCAGCAGATGTTCAGTTCTTCAGCAGAGAAGGTCCTCTTAGCGTGTAGAACTGCAGCCTCCTGCTACTGAGAAGTAGCACAGGAGGGGTAGTTGGGTGCACAGGGATATGCTTGGCCTGCTCTGGTTTGCTTCCAAGGTGAGGAAGCTCTTTCCTATTGGGGATAGTCTGGTTTTGGTATCAGCAGTTTTGTTTTTTAAACTTTTTGTAGCTCTTGTCCTTCTCGTTCGTATTCTCTTACCCTGGAGCCTTTGGACCTTACAGTCAAGTTGTTATTTCTTCCTTTGTTCTCTTCTAAATGGTCGGACCCTAATCGTTTCTAACAAAGGCAAGCAGCCCACAGAACAACGTTAGACAGTACAGAGGGACCGGACAGAGAGCACAACTTGACCTTCCCGTCATCTACCCACTCCTCAGAGGCACTGCCTTTGACTGGTTTGAGGGCTTTCTGCTTTGTTCCTGTTAACTTCTGTACTGTCAACAGCACCTGATTCTATGTTCATTCACCGGCTTTAGTAATTCCCTGGGAGAAAGAGGAAGACATTTTAAACCACTCATTTCTAGGTTACATTTTTTTTTTCTTTTTAGTACTACTACAGTTTGTCTTTTTAAAACAAACTGTATACCTGACTTCTACTTTCTGGCCCATCCCTTAAGGACAGAAGCTCTTGACTTCCCACTATGTTAATTAAGAAGTGGATTCTATGTGTTTCACTCTATCTCTCCAAATGTTTCACTTTTGTCTGTGTTTTCTTTCCCTTCCTTTTGTCAGCTGACCACATTAGAATTGTAAAGGTCTGTGATATTTAGTTATAACTTGAGTTAAACTTTCTGTGTGGCCATAAAGACCCTCAAAAGGAAACCACTCAGAAGTCACTGTGATATTCTGATTATATAAACATTATCTAGAACATATCTGGTCAGTGAGGGAGCCACTACACCATGCCTCTAAGCCTGAGAAGAGCTTCGTGGCTCCCAGCAGGTGGGCGAGGCCTTCTGAGTGCTCAGAAGGAGCGGAGCCTCTGTCAGGTAGCTAGCTGCCTGTTAATCAGCTTTCTCTTGCCCACGGTTCCTTATTGCTTAGTTTTCTTGTCAGCAGGACTTCTGGAGCTTGCTGTTGGTTCACTGGTTAATTCTGGGCAGAATGCTTCCTACCTACTCTGCAGCTGTTATGTAAATGTCTTTTCTTTCCTATGTAGACTAGCATTTCCTCCATTCCCTTTTCTTATACAGTATGGTGAAGGGTTAACTAGAGCCTTTCTCTGTGAGTGAGATACTGACCCTGGAACCAGTTCTGTCGCTGGACCCATTCAACACCTCCCAGAAGTGGCCGCCAACTGTGCTGTTAAGGCAGTGCTTATATAAACTATCCCTGGCCCTTAAACAGCCTTTGGCCCGGGAGGCTGCTTAGGTGTGGTTAGAAGCTGCAGCTGGGTCCCCCTAGGAGTGATGGCTTTGTAACTGGGCATGCCCTGCTGTCCTAGGACAGAGCTTGTGGGCTGTGGGAAGTTGCTTTGTGTTTGGAGTGTGAGGTTTGCCCCTAAGGGTCTCCACCTGCATGTGCAGGACACACAGTTTTGTAAATTGCTACAAGGAAGAAACCCCCAGGGCTGTCCTCGGTAACCCCCAGGGCTGTCCTCAGTGGTCGGCTCCTTTTCCATTCTGTCTCATAGGTTACCCTGAAGCTC